TCCATACAGTGGGCGCTCCACTTTAATTAAGCGAGCTAAAATAAAAAAAAAACAACCAAAAGTTCACATCTGTTTACTCACTCATTCAATACCAGAGAAATGTAGTACTGGAAAGGATCTCAACTCTCTCCCTATCCCTTTTTTAGAGTGTTCAAGTGCTGTAACTCGTAAATGTTTATCTAACCTCTTTTTAAAAAGCTGCAAGTTTGGGCAGTCTACAACCCCCTTCTATAATATGTCTGAAAGTTTAGTTATGTTTACTAAGAATATTTTTCCTCATTATTAACCCAGATATCTTTTAAAGTGAATTAAACTAATTGATTTTATTTTCTGACTGTAAATAGACACAGAATAATTGATCATCACTGTCTTTACAACAGCCATTTATATATGTTAAGATATATTGTCTCTTGTAAATACTGTTAATAATTGTAAATCTATCTATTTCAGCTATTCATCATAACAACATGCTTTCTAAAGGTACAATTTTTGGTGTTGTACTCTAGAAAATGTTTGTTAGTCTACATCGTTTTATGAAGGTTTCAGTACTTTCCCTTAACCAAGGCATGATGACTTACGTTCAACGCTGACATTAGCACTTGTCTTGTCTGTTCCACAGTCACACTCATAAACACCCTTATCACTCTCTGCAGCCTTCTTGATTGTCAGGATACGGCGCAAGCCATCTGTTTTTATGGAAATTCTGTTGGAAGCTATTAGTTCTTCACCATCTTTGTACCATTTTACTGGCACATCTTTGCTGAGTTCACACTCCAGAGTAATATCATCTTTCTCCACAGCACTGTAGTCTTGCAATTTCACAGTGAAGTATGGATCAGCCTCTACAAAAGGCATAGTGGATATGAAAAAGTAAGTTAGTAAAATAAATTTACTAATACATCAATATTTTGTCACTTTCTACTAATAAAAATTGTTTATATATATTCTATCACACATTTTAAATTATTTATGTAATTACCTAAGACATTGAGGTTTGCTTGTGTGTTCATGTTCTTGACTACGGCCTTTATTTCAGAGATATCATCAAGTGTTACTTCTCTCATTTCTAGTTTATGAACTTTGCCTTCTGAAGTAATAAAAACTGTTCTGCTTGTGTGGAGTCTCTTGTCATTTTTGTACCATTTCACTACCATGTCTTCATGAGAAAGCTCAAACTGAAAGTGAGCTGTTTCCCCTTCTTTCACTGTTTGATCCTGTAGAGGTGAGATGAACTTCAGCCTCACACCTGTAATGCAGACACATAAATACCTTTAGAAAAATGCTAATGTGGTTCTAAAAGATACATTCTTTATTCATGTATTATTATTTTGTTCATAAGAAGATACTAGCCTTCCACAAACAGTCTTGCAGTGCTCTTCTTGCCATCAACTTCAGCAGTGTATTCTCCCTCATCATCAAACTGAGAATCATTGATTACAAGAATATGCTTCTTTCCATCTGCAATGATATCAAATTTTTCTCCGATCTTGAGTATATCAGTGCCCTTAGACCATATAACATTGGCTTCTCTGGTAAGGACACACTCAAACCTGGCTTGGCGCCTCTCAGGGACAGTAACATCTTTTAGAGGCACAGCAAAGTCCAGTTCAATTTCTGGAAGCAAAACAGAACACAGCATTTGTAAAGTGCTCTATGCAAAGCTGGTTTAAGTTGATATAGTACTCTATTGTGCACCATACCTTTGACTGTCAGGATAGCTGTAGTAACTGCATTAAGTGCCTGGTAAAGGACTTCACCAGCTTGCTCTAACTTGACTTTGTGCAAGGTTAGGAAGCGCTTTCCTCCTTCTGATTTGATTTCACATGTCTGGAGAAATGACAGACTTCAGTAAATACAATGTCAATGCCTTACTGATGGGTATTTTTAAAAAAGGGATTCTATAAATATTTTATACACAGTAAAGAGTCAGCTAGAAAGAATGGAATTGCTTTTCAAGGAAAGTTAACACTTTCACTTAATAATTAAAAATAGAGTACATTTCTTCAGCATTCCATACTTCTTCGAAATGTCAGCACCATTCCCAGCAATGTATGTAGGATATTTTTATTACTGTCTGAATAATGTGCTGTGATCCTCTGAGAAAATGAAGCTCTTCAAAACTTAGCTTTTGGAGCATGTAATTCTTACTTAGAGAATCAGTATTTTTTAATCACCATAATGCTTAGCCTTTCTATATTCTGGACTGAGTAGCAATGACGGACCTGCAAAAATCTTACTATAAAGACTCAAAGGAACTTGTTCACAGTGTTTACATTTAAATAAATTGTGTTGCAAAATTCAAGGATGCTTACAGGTGAGGGTCTCAGGATTTCTCCTTTTAGCTTCCATTCACCAGGAATATCATCCTCAGATATTTCTGTATCAAAGTTTGCTGTTTCTTTCTCGTAAACTGTGACATCCTCTAATGGCTTCAGAAGTTCAACTTCACGTTCTAGAATGCACAAATACACACATATATAATTAGGTCAGCTTTTGATAGACCTTTATAATAATTAAGATCACCTTTTTTGTTGGTTTGTTTAGAGGTTTTTGAACATTGGCCTATGAGCCAATACAAATAAATGCTTCCTTACCACCAAGGGTCAGTTTTGCTGGGTATCTGCGACCTTCAACTTCCACTGAATATTCCCCAATATCAGCAGGGCCAGCATTCTTGATTTTCAGGAAAATCTTATTTCCTTCTTTCAAGATTTCTGTCTTGTCAG